TGAAAGCACTGGACGGTCGTCTCGTTCTATTGTAAAACTCGTCGGCAATGCGCATCCATGATCCCGCCCGCAGGATTCGGACTCAGAGCCTTCAGTTCTGCGCGCGAATGCTTAACATACTGGACCACTGAGCCGGCATCTAATGGTGTATGAATCCCGCAAGCGGTATCGTGGATGCACACTGCTGAGGAGTCCGATAATAGAACAAAACAGCTGTCCAGTGCTATTAGGTTCTCAAAGGTGATCTAACACCAATCGGTTCATGATCTTAATCAAAAGCCTAATAATCTCCACAATCCCTATACTGATAAAGTAAATAACGTTTGTTTATTTCGAACCAGATATTTTTCATCACAAATGTAGATGTTTTGTTAAGATGGTAACAAAATGTCATGAAATTGTAAGTACTAAATATATGTACATACATTTATTCAAATTCTAAAGGTGTACATATTATGTTATAAATATGTTCCTTAAGTTTTCTACCTTTTATAATATGCGAAATATGTTTCATATTATAGTTACCGATATTGGTATCTTAATTGCAGAAATACATTTTATATAACGTACGATATTTTAGTATAAAATAAAATGGGAGAAAGGTGTGTAGGCTTCACTACATATTTATCTTTAAATCATTTAAATTATAAAGGTGATAGAAAAAATATTTCAAATGAATATCAATAAACGAATCCATTGATTTTTATTTATTGTTCTTTATATTGTGCCAAAAATGGTTATTATCTTATGAGACACAATAGAGACGTTGATTAAATTGACTTAGAATTTCCCCCTCTTTTTACACCGATGATAATAATAAACTATTAATGAATATGAATGGATTCTAATATAATTATACCAAGTTTCTGCTTTAAGATTATTCATTCAAGTATTATTACTTAATATGAAATGAATGACAGAATATAATTTTAAGTAACGAAACAAAAAGTTGTCAATATCAGTCGAGGTAATTTTGAAGTTGCAAATTACATAGTGTCAGAATTATATTGACCAGATTTTAAAATATCTCTTAATATCAAAAACTTCATAATTTTCAGTCTCTAATACAAACATTTCTAATATTGCTAGTCATAATCGTTGAAAGAGGAAAATGGAGACATTAAATTTCTATAGTTTGAGTTCATCAGTAGATTAAATCTGTATCACAGATAAAGTCCACATTCTTGGTGAATGTTTAAACAATTTCCAGTTTGTAATGTTCATTAAAAGCTTTTCTAAGCTTACAAGTTATATTTAATAATTTAATAAATTGTTCACATTTCCCAAAACTTACAGTGTAGAATTATCTAATTGAAGTATACTATTTCAATTCAATATGATAACCAATTTTGATATATAGAAACAATACAGATGGTTCATCAAGTTCCTCTTTTATATTTTTTCAAACAATTTGTCATAAATGAGTGTTGTACTATTTCTTATACATAAATCTTACAATTAGAAATATTAGAAGGGTTTTTTGTGGATATAATAGTAATTTCAATAGTTGAGATTATGAGTCGATTGAAGCTAGATCACTATGGAAAACCTGGAAGCAATAGACGGTCGTTTCGTCCTAGTGTGGGACTCCTCAGAAGTTCGCATCCACAATTCCACCTCATGAGATTCGGACCTAGGACCTATCGGTCTCGTGCGCGAACGCAAACTCTAGACCACTGAGCCGACATCCAATGGCGTTAATGTCTTTCTTCAACCAATCCACGAAATTTCGCCACCGTCCAACATTGTCTTCATTGAGCTACTATCTGACAACAGACTTGGTTGCAGTCCATTGATCACTGCTTCTCACTAGAACTCCAGGATATGCCGTTTATTCAATCCTACTGATACAAATTTAGACAAACTGTATATCAGTACATCTACAAATAGTTGGCAAATCTAAAGTTTAAAAAAAAGTAGTTATTACCCGACTAAAAAAATTCACATAACATAGTGTTGTTTTATCAATAATCATGATATTAGCAGCAGTTCCAGTAAAATTATTAATCTTAATTATTGTTATTATTAATAGTAATACTAAAACTTCATTGGCAGTTTACATTACGGATATATTTTGTTTTTTATTAAAGAGCTAATATGTTCATCCATCAAGATTGACGTTTGAATATCAAGGAAAAAGAAATTGTAAAAACCCGTTTTTTTTCAATGTGATAACCATGATTGAATATAAAGGAATTCAGATTAGACTGACAGAATATATAACCAAATATTTATATAAACACATAATGTAATGAAATTTTGATTAGATTTTTTGGGTTACACTTTTCTGTTTGTCGACATGCCTACAAGTAACTAATAAATGATGATAAACGAATACTAATTTGATTCCTAAACGATTTGATTAAACATTAATTATCAGTAAAGGATTGTGAAGATTACTGTGTTTTTGATTGAGATCATGAATCAATTGATATCAGACCATCATTTGAACCCCGGAAGCACTGGATTGAAGACAGTGGGTTCGAATCCTGTGAGAGGGATCATGGATGCACACTGCTGAGGAGCCATATAATAGGACGAGATGGCCGTTCAGTGCTTCCAGGTTTTCAGTGGTGGTCTAATATTAATCGGTTCATGATCTTAATCAAAAACATTTATTATGACATTTTGGATATCCTCAATTAACCGAGGATATATATTCAGTGGTCAGTGGTAATAATTGTTTCCGATCCATTAAAACGTTAATCTCATTGATAACTGAACAAATGGTCCAGTTATATACTGGTAGTTAACATAGCTTCGTCATCAAATTAACTGAAAAGTCTTAGATAGTAACTGATAATCACAAATAATCTTGAATGCGTTGACACAAGATTCTAAATACTGAATAAGATATCACTCAGCTATATCGTGAAGTTGAAAGCAATTGCAAGAATACTTTGAAACCAAGTTTCGTGCTAGTTTGAACTTGTCAGTAAGGTGAGCATACAGTTTTATTGGGACTGATATTATAAATGGGATTCAAACGCAGATCACCTAGCATCACAATAACGAATTGCATTATTGAGTGATTCATGAAATTACTTCCTTCCTTTCGGACAAATACATTTACAGAACAATTTCTGGTTTGGCAGAAATAAAAGTAATGTTATAGAGCCGTTAGTCCCGGTCAAATCCCGTTCAACACTTTTCAGTTTGGTTACTAGCACAAAGGCTAGACAACGTGCCATTAATTGCTTCTAAGTGCGAGGATCTCCCGTTGCTGACCTACATTTCAGTTGATAAGTTCCCACGGTATACTTCACTCCCAGTTAAATTGTAATGTTAATTCAGTATTTACTGTGAATTGACTTTCACTAGTAGACTTAATGAGCTTAACCACTTCTCTTACTAAGTTAGACAGGCAAGTCAAGGGAAAATTTACTTCCTCGGGTAGATTCAGGAGGAACAAACTAAAATCAACATTTTTATAAAGATAATAAAATACCAAAAGGCCGAAATTATTTCATTTATTTTCGCCATTGAAATCACGAATCAAATTTAGTTAGACCACCATTGAAAACCTGAAAGCACTGGATGGACGTTTGGTCCTAATATGGGGCTTCTAAGCAGTCTGAGACCACGATCTTACACGCAGGAATCAAACCCAGGAACTTCGGCTATGCACGCAAACGCTTAACCTCTAGAACACCATTTGCAAAACTGATTTTTTACATACACTACTAATATTTACAATGATCCATTAAGTTTCTAGACTTCACACTAACTGGTACAAATTTTCAAAGCTTAGAAATAATTAGACTACTTTAATTCACCTTTACGAGACAATTTAACCTGTTTCGATAGAGGCCACCATCTTTTTCAGATATGCGGGTTCTGGAGATTGCTTTTCAAAATAATCTTTTTCATCGTATCCTGATATCAGCTACAGGACTAATAAAAATCAAAAAATTACTTAATAGTTGTCTCTTCCTAACATGAAACTATTTCATATTGTACCCTAATGAACAGCTTGAATACAGATTCTTAACATTTAGGTGCAAAATCATAACCAATGGAGTTCAACTTTAATGGTTATAACAAAAGAAAAAAATCCCCATTAGATAATCGTCGCGAAAAATAGAAAACTGAGTAGAGTTAAAAATTCAGACCACTGGTTTGCTAATAAGTGGCTTAATGATACTATTTATGCCTAATTACGTGTACTTCCTGATTTGAATAACCCATAAACTCTGGAGCGTTTGATATTCAACAGCCACAAACGAGGACAAATTGCATTTCGTTTTTCTCAACCTTTAATTGTTTGTCATCTGAAATTAGTCCTAGATTGAAAATGACATGTGTTTTAGGTTGAAATGGCTAGTATTACTCATCTCATTACTTTTAGCTACTTTAAACAAAAACTACCGTGAATATATGGAATGTACCGTGATGAGATTTTCGTTGTAATAAGAGATTAAAAATAAGCGACTGATCAATTGCAATCCTAAATATCAATTAGAAGATTCAAAGAACTAATACAAATGAATAAGAGACTAAGTTTTGAAGAAAATAATGATAGGCATTTTTTGTAATTATAGATCTTCTTATTCACTATCCACGTGAAAAGTGTTTTAACTTACGACGGTACAAGTGTAATAACTTGGAAATTCTTTGTAGTTATTTAGCATATTACTCATTTGAATTTTTTGACAAACTGATTCTAAATAGATATAAACTAGATTATCGGTTAATAAGTAATTTTCAAATTGCCTTAAAAACAAGCGAAAACACTGTTTTACTTTGATTGTCGACCATATCTTATTGATTAGTCTACCCTGAATGTTCTACACGCATGACAAGCGACTGAATTAAATGTTATAGGATGGATCAATACTTAACTTTATATAATAAGAATCAATCTAATAGCGCCATTTACAAACAAAAATGATTTTTTTTGTTTTAAGTGTAGCCATCTTAACTTTCAATAATTGTCAAGATTTTCAAGATCATTTTGGTGGAATAAGCTAAGGAATAAATTTAGTCACTAGTGACGAAAAAAACTATTGGTTGTCACAGAAAGCTTTATTGAACAATGACACATGTATTGATTACTTTTGTCTCAGGTGATTACAGATTCATTAGTCACCGTCAAACAGATTATTTCATCAAAAAACTCTTGACTAATTTTAATTATGTTCATTTCTATAATTAATCTACTTCAGGATAGTTAATTTAATCAAATCATGTAACCTAATTAAAATAATTGAATGTTATTTCATCGTCAAAAGTATTTAAAATGTTTGATAACAAGCTAAGCAAACACTGATTTTAAAAAATTAACTTCTTCTGGAATTCCGATAAATAACTGGTTAGAAATAAATGATTTATAAAGTCGGTAAGTTAAACGACTGTTTTGATTTATGAAACACAGATATCCAATACTAACGATATTTGAAGGAAATATACCATCCAATTACTTTGTGTTAATTTCTGAATTTATAGCAACATGATGCATCTCATTAAACAACTTGCTTTGCAACTGTTCACATGATAATCTTTCTTTGTAGCGAATGATTTCAATGGTTTTAAAAATAGTTTTGTAGATTAAAAAAACTGATACCATGTGCTTACCATCACGTCGAAATGGAGAGTTTAAATGTACAGTCTCTGCTATGATACTTAAAGGTTTCAAGTTTAATTGTCTGTTGATTTATTTGCATTATAGTTTAAACGTTCAGCTGAAATAATTCTTCAATACTTAGAGCCTTCCAATTATTTCCCAATTTATTCCATTGCGTTATAAGTTACGTCTACAATTCTTTGTTATAAAAGTGGAACTTAACAGCCAAGTATTTTTGAGCATTTAAATTTATTAGGATTAAGCTATATTGAATTGTCATTATTACTAACTAGATTATTAGTCAACATTTATATAACTTTCAATTGCAGAAAAGCCATGACTACTGATCGTTTACTAACAAAGATTGTGCAATCGTAGTACTATAAAATGGCTGTACCCAAACAGGGATATAAATAATCACTTACATGGTACAAGGATATATCTTACTATAGATGATGTTTTATATCCTTTTGTGTGATACAAGCTGATTGTGGTGGCATCAGAGTGAAGTATCTGTGAAGTCCTTACTTGTAATGCATACTTACTCCTGATCTCTTAATGCAATAAATAGCTACACATGCTCAAATTTGATGAAATTCCATCAAGAAATGAAAAGAAATACTCTTTTTTAAATCTCAAGCGGTAACCAATTACAATAAAATTTTCAGTAAAGAGAAATTAGTAGCCATGGTGAAAAAAGAATATTTAAGATTTACAAAAGTTGGTGTTTATGTTCCGTTTCTCATGTTCGTTTTAGAAAATACTTAAAAATTTTGGAACATAGAAACTATAGATAGATATCTCATCACTTTTAACTATGCATTTCAGCTTTATTTTATGCCTTTAATTTAAAATGACACAGACAAAATTATATTTAGGTGTCAGTGAATGTAATAGTTAAGCTGTCAAGGACACACGCGTACACGCGTCTACCAACGTGTGTGAATAATGTACACACTACTGCTACAAATCAATATTTTCAATTTTTGTCTACTGAAATTCCTTTCATCTTCCTTGTTTGACATTTACTGTCTTCTCAACAGGCATCCATTTAAATATGCATCATACATACATATCATTCTCCTTAATCACAGACAGACTTAATCAACAAATCAAAATGTAAACGCATCTGTAAAAGCTAATGGAGTTGAAAATGATTGAGTTTTAAGAAAAGATTTTGTTGCTTGGCTCATAATTGAATGTGAAATAGTCTCTTCTTATAGCAGTCGATAAAAAAACTGATGGTTTGACTGAGCAGTGTAGGTAAGCACAAACTACCTGGTCTGGATTCGTATGTTTATTGTAACAAATGCTTGAGACTTCCAGTGATGTAGTATGAAATAGTTCGTCATAGCATAGCTGCATCCATTCTTCATCATCTCATAGATCCTGAGTTTTCAAATTACCTCTTCGTGGCCCTATATCTGATTCTAGTTAAATCGTTTCTGATTGTTATTGAAATATACGTGTCTCCAATTTTCGTATATAATCATCGACTTAAATCGCGTTGGTGAATAACGGAATTAAATAAATCGAATGTAATAATGGATTCTTGAACAAGTATATTTTGTACAGTCGTTGACCGGAAAATGAAACAATGGAGAGGACAAGTGAGCCAACTCGGTTTAGCTAAGAGTGAATCGATATTTATAGCCAAACAAAAATAAGTTGTAGATATGAAGTGCACACATATACACTCTTATAAATCAATCAAGGTTGGCAAGCAAATAATTAACAAGGTCAAAATGTGACTCAAGTAAAATAAATTAACTGGTCTGTCCAAAAGCTAGAATAAGCTGTGTGTGCTTAACACAGCAACCGAGACTACAACCTTAAAAATTATTTTTATTCCACTTAGACATATGTTTTCCAATTTTTTTTTGTTATAATCGATACTATTACTATCACCAGTGCACCGACATATGCCGTGACGATTTAATTTATACTGTGCTAATGGAATATGGAAAGTTAAATTGACGAACACATTTTCCCAGTTCTACCTTACATAGGAAAGACTGGGTAACTTGATTTGTCAATACTTTTTTGAATATGACATCCCATGTAAGATGAGAACCAATATTATTCTTGTATTCTTGTATTCCTATTCAAGTATTCTGATATTCTTGTACTGCACATAAACAAAATCACCAGTGACTTGTAATGACAAAAGATTTTGGTAGAATCGTAACCAGTACACTCTGAAAACGACTAGGAAATTCACCCCAGTTTACAGGCCTGGTCAATCTAATACAAAGTCATAGATTATAATGGCAAAACTACATACGTTTTCCGAAATGACGTTATTTCCAGATTAATTTAAACTGGATATTTGTAACAATGTCGTTGTTAGTGTAAATCATGAAATGTATGCGTAAGTAGAAGCAAAATTATCTTATATTATGTCATCAGTGACTGAATATACTATACTAAACCTAGATATAATAAAAATAAACTTGTCATTGGTAAACAAGATATAATTTTAATGATAATAGAAACAGATGCAGCAAAAATGATAGCATAAATCCATCATTATATTGTGGTGTGTGCTACTTATATTAACATAAGTAGTATATGATGTTAGTTGTGAACACAATGTCTGGCAGCAGAGAGACAAGAGGATCGAACAGTAAAGAATCGAAACAGAATGCAATTTGTATGAAGATGCAAGAACAATGAAGTCTGAGTCATTTTGAGACATTTTGCAAATTAAGCATTTACTTTGTGATTGTTAGATTTTATTAACAAGTCCTGTAATTGTGTGTCAAATACATTCGATTGTTCCCACTGGTGTTCTTGTTCACTACAATATGGGCTTTGGTACAGTAGACGGTAAATCTTTTGTATAAAAGATAAATAGAACAATTCAACATAATGCTTCAGATTATCACAAAAGTTACAAATAACTATAGTTTGTTAGTCAACAACTCCATCACAGAAGGTTAACCAGAGTGATTTGAATACAGAGTACTGTTAACTAATCAGTTATCCTCAAACAACCTATTGGATTAAACATTGCTTATATGTTACTACCCCTTTTAAATGATTATCTCTAACAAACGATTTTTTCAGTTAAATTAAGTTGGTTGCTTGTGAATTTATACAAATAAAGTTGATTGAGTTTTTGGGATCACTACACAACCTATTAGAAGATATCACAATAATGAAATCAAAATACAAATTACTGGATCAATAAATAGCTTAAAACTATATTTTTTAAGTTTCTAACTTGGAGATAAGAGTCATTTTTGAGTATTTCTGACAAAGTGATAATTTATGCTTAAGTACCTGTTCGATTGTTTATGAAATGGGTGTTAATTAATGTAGATAATTATGAATCAACTAAGAAAACTGATACATTTGCACGCAAGAAAAGTTTTATATATCTAACCCTGAGAAAATAACTCCACCTTAGTGATAAACCCACTATTATGTTTTATATAATACAAATACAAAATATTCGAATATAATTACTGCTATTAGAGCTGATGATTTAGATAAATACAATTTCAAATGAAACAAGCATGATAGAGGTTGAAATCACGTTTGACTTAATCATATAAAAGGAGCTGACTCATGTCAACATATATTTTCAAATAACTTATATTAGGGATAAATAATAATGAAAACTGTTAGTTGAGATGTATCTTTATGGTTGTCTACGTTTAATGGTACAGCATTCATTGCTATTCTGAAAACAGATTACTAGTGCCGACGTCTGTTTGAAATAATTTATATAGAAAATAAAGACTTCGTATTTAAGCTATACATCTCAGAGATTACAATACTGTGGAAAAAACTACACTGAACTGGTTCATAAATTAATATAATAATTACATATCATTGAACTGAGAAAAGAGTAAGCATTGGTGAGTAAGTGATTAATATTCTACATGATTGAACTCTATTTGTTAGGTTTACTCACTAGAACTTCAGAAATCAATGTCGCCTGGTTTTCAATGGTTGTTGAGCTAAGATCAATCTATACTGTCTCTTCGAATCTCTATAAAAACACATTTTTATATGTCACTTGACTTTACTCTTATTTACCATATATAATATATAAAAGAAGAGGAAGAGTGAACACCTCTCTTTCCTTCTTATTATTATTTAAGTTTGAATAAACTTTATAATTGAAGTTTATTTATGATTAATAATTAATGTATCGTTCTTTTTCAACGTATACATGGTTATTTAGAAAAGTTAATTATTATTTTAAAACAATTAATTTTAATGTATTTTGTTTTGGAAGGAAAAAAGGAAAGAAAATTTGTTTCTAGGTTAAATTGATTAATGTTATTATCCTCATTATTGCTATTAAGTTTCCGATAGAATGGTCTCCGAAATTAGTATTAATCATTTGACCAATAGAAATCTCCTAGAGCGGTGAAAAAACTTTGTATTGTATAAATTATACACAAACAAGTTGGGCGGTAATAATATTCAATGTAAAGAAAACTATTCTTAAGTATTCTTAAAGTAAATATCATAAATAATTTCATAAATATTCTTCATTGATAAGATTGTTTTGAATCAATAGATGTTTAACTGTGAATTGACACTGTGATTATTTAAAACTCTTTTAAACACCATTGAATATGTGATAAGTATCATTGTACATTGATATCATATTGTTTATACTAGTACTAAGTTGTGGTGAAGTTTACTTCAGAATAGTTTGTTATGCTTCTTATTGGAATAATTTTTCATGATAATTAATTGACACATATGATTAGGTAGATGATCCTGTTTTCAGTTAACTCATGTAATTTATGTTA